TGCCCAGGACCAGAGCTGGGGCTGTTGCAGCACTGCAGCTCCCTGGCCTGGCAGGACACCACACAGGGTGGCTGTTCCTTCCGGCGCAGCAGCGGGCAGGGATGCTTTTCCCCTATTGAGGAGATCTTCCGCTCACAGTTAACAATGAGGATGGTTCATCTTTGTTTTGAGGAAGCTGCTGTCTGAGAGTTTGGAGGTTTCAGGATGAGTGACGTTGCTGCTTGGGCAACCACCGAAGGGCCCCTGTTAAACTCGATGAGCAGCCTGGCTGGTGGCTGACTGGGATTTCTTACAGAGGGGATAAACCATCCCCTTCTATAGACCTCAGTGCAAAATGTGGCCTTGGCCTCAGCAGCCTTTTTTATTGGTTTTTGCATTTGAAAATGATGAAGCTGATAGAGTGTGTATACACAGAAGTGCCCTGTCCCAAAAGAAAGGTTTAGCATTCTGAACACAAGGACTTTGTTTTCCCTTGGAAAGAAAGTCGTGATGTGTCGTGAGCTCTGTCTGCCTGGTCTCTACATCAGGAGGCTTTCTCCCGACACAATACTCATGGCCGAGGAATAAAACCATAATGGATTTTCCTAGAGAGTGCCCCTGAGGGTCTCTGGCTGGGCTCCTTTCAGCCGTCTCCCTGCAGTGCACTAGTTTCTCTAAAATAGCATTTTACACTCGGGTTGTTTTATACAGTGACTTCTGCACATGCAGAAGAGGTTTGTGGCATGCTGGCCCTGTATGCTTGCTGGGATTCAGCACAGCTATAACTCAAATAGCACTTTGCACAGCAGCCCTAAATGTGTCAGTGTGCTCTATAATCAAGACTAAAAGGTTTAAAGTGAACCCAAATATGCAGCGATTACTGCATACACGGGTTTAACGAGTGTGCTCCTGCCCTTGGGGAAGAGCAGGCATTTGTGAGAAGGGGATCTTTTTATTTTCTGTGTCGTTTCAGATGTTTAAACAGTGTCAGCAAACTGACAGCTTCCTCCTGTGACTAATCAGGTCTTGGGAGGTAACAGGGAGGCAGTGTCCCTCTTTTTTTACATCATTTCGCAGGAAGTGGCAGAAGTTGGCCTCAACTAGAGACGGAGTTGGCTGGAGTGTATGGATACTCTTGGGTACGAAGACGTTTCCCCAACAGCCAGCTAATTGTGTTTTGCTGATGTCCTCAGGGTTAAACCTCTCACAGGATTTGCAGCCACAACTGAGTATCTGCTAGATCCAGGTTATTCAGACACTCAGAAGAGCAGATGTGAGAGAGGAGTTTGGCTTCCTCCACCGCGAAGAAGCATGGATCATGGTTAACAGATCACTTGTTTGAATCACCTGGCTATGCTGCAGCAAGAAATCTCCCATTGCTGGTGGAGAGTAAGACATTGAGAGTAAGCCTTGGCTTCCTGCCCCCTTTCTTGTTTTTAGGACTTGGTGCTTTGTACCCACAAAGTTGAGTTTGTTACAGAGTGCAAAGAGTGCACAGGGCGTGTCACAGCTTATGGTGTGTGTCTAGTGGGTGGGTGGTGTTTCAGACATTTCTGCTCTGACTCCGGAAAACGCAGTTATCTGCAGCCTGGGCAAGGTGGGTAATCCCATCTTCTTTTTGGACAGCCCTTCCCATCACAAAGAGGAATTCTCCGGGCATTGCTGCATGCTGCTCGTGGCATGTCCCTCTCTGCGTTTGCACAGTCTGACGCTCCTCAGTGATAGTTGGAGCTCAGCAAGGACTGTGTTTGCGTTCCTCTGGAGCTGGTATGCAGCTACTGTATAGCTCATGCAGGTCATGCAGGTTTCTGGAGGCACATGTGTGTGTTGCCGTCTGATCAAGGCACCAAGCAGGGACTGTGGGAGTCGAAGTTTTGTTCCCGGTTCTGATACAGGGCAACAACTGCAGCCAGATCTTACAATCTTCATTTGTTATCTAGCTAGTAGAAGGAACACTACTGCTTGTATGCGATGTCTGTAGGTAGAAGAAACATTTTAGTAGGGAACTTGTCACTTCCTACATTTCTACGCACTGGCACAGCTTTGGGTGGCTATTTTAGGTACTGTTGAGCTGAAAATACATCACATGCATTTGCATCTGTTTGAGGGCAATCCTCAGACCTGTCATGATTATCACCTGCAGTTTTCTCTGTAGCTTTTGGAGGGAGGAGGAGTTGCCCCTGCAGGAGCCAAGGGCTGCTAAAAAGCTGCTGAGAGCAAGATTTTGGCACTGAA